CCGATCCCATGCCTCCTCCCCATACATCTATGAGAGTGCTCACCACCCACTCTTGGTTCGCTGCCCTAGCATCCCACAACAATGGGGCATGAAACCAACATAGGACCAAGGTCCTCCCCTCCCATTGATGCCAGGTAAGGCAATCCTCTGCTACATATGCAGCTGGAGTCATGGGTCCTTCCATATGTACTCTTTGTTTGGTAGTTTAGTCCCTGGGAGCTCTGGATGATAATACTGTTTTTCCTATGGGGTTGCAATTCCCTTCAGCTCTTTCAGTCCTTCCCCCTAACTCTTCCATTGAAGTTTCCATGCTAAGTTCAATGGTTGGATGCAAGCATCTACATTTACGCCTGCATTGGTCATGCTCTGACAGAGACTCTCAGAGGACAGCTATACCCTCCTGTCAGCAAATGCTTCTTGATATCAAAAATATGATATTGATTTGGTGTTTGCAGATGTGATGGATCCCTAGGTGGGGCATCCTCTGGATGGCCTTTCCTTCAGTTTCTGCTCCACTTTCAGTCCCTGCATGTCCTTTAGATGGAAACCATTCTGAGTTAAAATTTTTGAGATGAGTGGGTGGCCCCATCCTTCTATTGGAGGCTGTGCCTCACCACTGGATATGGTCTCTACAGACTCTCTCCCCTTTGTTGGTTATTTCAGTTAATGTCATCCCCATTGAGTCCTGGGAACCTCTTGCTTCCCTGGCATCTGGGACATTCTAGTAGCTAACCCCAGTTCCCCCATCCTCCACTGCTACACAACTTTGTTCAATTTCCTGACCCTCTGTACTTCTATTCTGCTTCTTGCACACCTGATCCTGACCCCCCTTTCCTACCCTCCTCTTTCCCTCCTAGGTCCCTCCCTCCCTCTACCTTCCATAATTATTTTGTTCGCCCTTCAAAGTTGTACTGAAGCATCCACAATTTGGTTTTCCTTCTTGTTGAGCTTCATATGGTCTGTGAGCCAACTCAGGTTCTTATACCCCACAAACATATAACAAAATTGAAGATGATATAAAAACTTTTGGTGATAACAACCCATTAGAACAATACTAACTTCTCACTGGAAACTCTGAAAGCCAGGAGTCCTAGATAGATGTTCTACAAGCTCTAAGAGACCACAGATGAAAATTCCGATTATTGTATCCAACAGAATTACCTATCACAATTGATAGAAAAAACATTTAAAGATAAAAATAAATCTAAGCAATTTTTGTCCCTAATCTAGCTTTACAGAAGGCACTAGAAGGAAAGCTTTAATCTGAAGGTATCGATCACACTCAAGAAAAAACAAGGAATAATAAACAATGCTAAACTAGTAAGTCATAGTCAGTAGGGCATATGTTGTGGGTGCCATACAACATAACAGAATAGCAGGAATCAACAAGCCATGCTCATTGACAGCTCTCCAATAGCTATGGTCCCCATTCCCAATTTAAAAAAAAATATAGACTAACAGAACAGATGTGAAAACAGGATGTGAAAAATGGATATGAAAGTGGATCTGAAGGCCTCCATTCATCCCCCCTCCCACACCATGTGGGATTCTCCATAAGGCTATGAAAAATACAGCATGAAAGGAGTTTCAGAGAGATAGGGATCATCATAATGCTATAAATACAATACACCTGCATAAAATGTCTAAAACAAAACATTTTAAATTTTAAAAATTGTCTTTGGATACGATGAAAGTCAAGATGGCTCTGGTTATTTCCATAGCTGAACATGAATCTATACATGTCCAAAAGGAAAGGGGGGGTCAATAAATATGATTTTGGATTCTATTTGTTTTCTCAGTTTTAGATTAGGTGGTCTTTTCCTAAAAGTATGAGGATGGTTTTATTTTGGTTTTAAACTTCTGTACATCACTGTCTTCAATGATACCATCAAGTAGGATTGTATGAATCCAAACATCCACTCTTAAGTTACATGCTATAACAGGGGGCTATCCTGTGTGAGTATTCTTCTTCAGTCAACTTCCCATCCAAATACCCATGGAATATTTTACCTCTACCTTAGAGATGGATAAGCCAGATGCAACAACCTTACATAGGAAGAGATAACTTGACCTATGAAATATCACTGACCATGGATACCTCCATAAAGTCAATGTTCTTACTCCTACTTTTAGGCAGGAGTGTGACTCCTCAAGGTGTCTACAGCAGGTGGTACCTCCTACACTCCAAGCCCAATGAACATGATACCATCAGTGTGACACGATTTTGTCCCTTCAATAGACATTACTACACCTAATGATGGATGTCAATCCATTTTCCAGATTTTTAGCTGCCAAGGGTGTGTCATTTGCAGCAACAATAAAACTATACCAAGAGCATCTTTGGCTAGAGTCACCACCCAGTTAAGTTTACAATACTCCACTGTAGTTCTCCAAGATGCAAATAGATATCCTGAAGGGAGATGCAGCAGGAATCACCTTGTCTGTATCCTTCAATAGGACATTATTTGCACTGACCCCTGGATAACTCCGTGTATCACAAGTCCCTGGTTTACTCTTTGGTAAGTAGAAACAGTTGTGATGTTTTTCACTAGTTTCTTTCATAATGTCATTTCCTGAATCAGCCAACCACTATGAGAATGTGCCAATTGGTGCCTATGTCTCTCCTACGTCTGTACTCAACAATTGGAAAAAGGGACTGTTCATTGGGACCCTGTGTGTGAACTATCTCCAAAGCCTGTCCTCTAACTGGGCTTCCCAGAAGAATTACACAGAATTATCAGATCAAATCCAGTGCACAGTAATTTTAAAAAATAATTAGATCTATTTTTTTCTCTAATCTATGTCACTCTGCTTACACAGCCCTTAGTAGCTCTGTGGAACCAAAGGAAGGAAATACAGAAGGATAAAGTCGGAACCAGAACTTTCCTCAAGGGCACCCAGTGTCTATTATGCAAAGAGGTCTGATTTATCTGGCCAAGCCTGGGAACTAGCTGAGGCATCCTATGATAGTCCATACCGCTTTTTACCAGCCCTGGGATTGTTCTGCAAAGCTCCACAATTCCAGAACACCAAGTCCAATTATATGGTTTATTGAGATGCATAGTCTTTGAGTCTGAACAAGTGCTTGTTTGAGTTACTGTATTAATCTGCATAATATCTTTTTAAAATTTCTTCACAATAAATTGCTTTCATCTTTAAAAAAAAGTTTTCGTTCTTACTTAGATCAAAAATAATGTTTAAAGCCCAGCATTTTCTTTGCCTGTGTTCTTGAGTATTTAGACAAAATGAGCCAACCACTGTACACTAGGATCTCTGACTATAAATATTTGGTCACCAAAAGACTTGTTTTGCATTGAAGACACCCATGAGTGACATTGTTTAAGTGGCAAGTTTACTCTCCATGACCTAGAAATCATCTGACATCTACAACTACTACATTTTATCACTTACAATAGAAAAGATCCTCTCTTCTTCCATACAATGAAGATTTCTATTCAACAGGGTCCACTGAGAAGGAAAAGCATATGTGAGTAGTGCAACACATGAGGTCTATTCAAAGGTCATTCTAAATGAGCTTGTGGACAGGTGAGCTGATACTCTTGGCGTCTTTGTGACTGCTTCCTCTCACTTTTTCTTTGCAATCAGGGGAAGGAGACTTCTACAAAGAAAGATTATTGGAGTGGAGTCAAGTAATAACTGATTTGAGACCAAATTCTGATATTTAAGTGAATATGACATTTGGCAAGTCTCAATTTCCTCATCTGTAAAATGGAAACAGTAATTCTCAGAGTTGATGAGGTCTTAAGAAAAACAGACCAGAAATGTAAAAATGTGTCAATTAGTAAAATATGCACAGAATTTCACATTGTAAGCAATTAAGGAAGAATAAATTTTGTAACCAATGGTACGTTCCTATGTAAGTGTGAGTCTTGTTTTATTTCCAGTGACACGTGAAAAGATGAAAGCACCAAGTCTCAATACTGATCTGCACAGATTTGACATTGTTCTCAAGCAAGGAGACCCTCCATGTAGCTGGCAAGCCTGAGATATCCTGTGGAACACAAGAGTGGTACTTTAAACATTCCATTGTGTATTATGTTCATCCTACTGGAATTGAAAAGAACAAGTTTTAGAAACTAATTAAATGTAGGATCTTCGTATTCTGTGATATCCTGAAAGTCCATTGAGTTCTCCCTAAATGTGTACTGCAACATCTATCAAAGGGATTATTAGTATGACTAGATTAGAACATGCCTTACAGCAGCTGTTCTCAACCTGTGGGTCACAACTCATTTAGGAAAAGAAAATCAGATATCCTACCTATTAGATATTTTACATTACAATTCATAAAAGAGAAATTATAGTTATGAAGTACCAATGAAATAATTTTAAGGCTGGAAGCAACCACAACATGACAAAACTATATTACAGAGTCACAGCATTAGGATGCTTAGGTCTTAGTCATGCCCTGCATGCTGAGTATTCACCACACTCTCCCCACACCTTCAACCCTCACAGCCACATCCTCTCATCTCCTACTTATTTGAATAAAGATGAGATGCCCTCATACTTGTCAACACAAACAACGGATTTCAGCTAAATCAACCCATTATGAATTTTTGTAAATAAAATGTACTCCCTCTCACCCATATGTTCATACACTACAAATGCCTGTGTTTGTGCTACAATGACAGAGGTGAGACTTTACACATATGTAGCATGGGTCTCAAAGCTGACAATAATAACTGGATGCTTATAAGAACAGTTCCATGATCCCTGATCAAGATCTTCTTTCCTTTGTGTTGCTGTCCTTCCTTCTGGAAGAAGCTTTAAAGGGTGTAATCGCCACTTCATCATGAGATACAAGGGTATCAGAATCTGGCCACAGATTCAACACCCCAAAAGAGTAGAGTCATGAGAATTTCTGATAAGGAAAATAAAGCTGGTCCAAGCCAGATCTGTGGTTTTCTGCCCTTCCTTTCTCCTGCTTTTGAACTATAAAAGCAGGAACCAGGACAGGAACACACCAGAAGCCCACCCCAGGCTTCAACACTGGCAAAATGCAGGCCCTACTGTTCCTTATGGCATTCCTCTTGCCTTCTGGAGCTGGAGCCGGTGAGTTTTGTCTTCATCTCCCTAACCTTTGATTTTTCAGCAACCCGTGTTAATCTGTTAGCTTAGGTAACAGAAACCCTAACATGAGGCAGGATTCTAAATTGACATAGTCCAAGGAAAATCTCTAGGTCAAGGAAGAATGAAAATCTAATTCTCCTTCACATCATTTCATCAAAATGCTCTGTTCTGATAGGCAGCTCTTCTCTGGCTGGCATTTCTTAGTGTTGAGGAAGACAAGATGAGGGTGTGGAGGAATATCTGATGAAGTGGAAGCCCAGAAACATGGATGGACATTGTGTTCTAAATGAAGGATGATGGTGGACAAGGAGGACCAGTGAGAAAAATAGACCAAAGGACATGTGGATGGGGCTGAGCCCCATGTGAGGTGGGATAGGCTTGAAGCAGTCACTCAGCTTTACCCCTTTTTCCTGTGCCAGTGCTGTGTTGGAGTGTCTTAAAACTCTGTGACTAGGAACTTGGGATTCTTTGTTCCAGAGGAGATTATTGGTGGTGTTGAGTCTAGTCCACACTCCCGCCCTTACATGGCCCATTTGGAGATCAGACTTGAAGAAGGTTACACAGCCACTTGTGGTGGATTTCTCATAACCCGCCAATTTGTGATGACTGCTGCACACTGTAAAGGAAGGTAAGAGGCTTCTATTTCTGTAAGGAAATGCAGGAGCCAGAGTCACAGAGGTGCAGAGGCCTGAGTAAGTCTCTAAGCCCTGCTCATCTCCAGATAGGCTCTCCTTCCATTTAGAAGATAAAGGAATCAAAGACCAGTCATTTTAATTGTCACCTCTATTTTCAGAGGTCTAAACTTTCAATAGGGCTCTAGTTGGGACAAAAACTACAGCTCTTGTCTTGTGCTGGTGTCACCAGTGCTCAGACATAGGCTGGAGTGTAACTCAATATAGAATGCCTGTCTACCATGTTCAAAGCTATGGATTCAATCCCAGAACTGTGTGTGAGGTGTAGGAAGAGTTGTCTGTCCTGTTTTTCCATGAGCTCTGTCCTTCTCAGAAGTCTGTGGTCCTGGGAGATCTCAAGTCTCTATAGAAGCTCTACCTTGGGTTAGAGAAGAAAGACCCTGGTGTCCCTGTCCCTAACATCATCCCTTTTCAGTGCTTTTTTCTCTGTCAACAGAGAAATCACTGTCACCCTTGGAGCTCATGATGTGACCAAGACAGAATCCACACAGCAGAAGATAAAAGTTGAAAAACAAATCATTCACCCAAACTACAACTTCTATTCTAATCTCCATGACATCATGTTACTGAAGGTGCCATAATTTTTCTTTCCCTGCTTAAGTCTCCCATCAATAACTCTCCTCCTGGCTCAGGCCTTTGAATTCTCTCTTGTCCAAATCATTTCCTCAGAACCCACTCCTGAATTCTCAATGGGAAAGGACCCATGTCCAAGCATCCTTCTCTAGTTTGACATCTGTTTTCTCCTTCCCCAAAACAGCTTAAAAAAAAAGCCAAGGTGACTCCTGCTGTGGACATAGTTCCCCTGCCTAGTTCTCCTGACTTTATCAAGCCTGGGAAGATGTGCCGGGCTGCTGGCTGGGGGCGAACTGGAGTGACAGAACCTACCTCAGATACCCTGAGGGAGGTAAAACTGAGAATCATGGATAAAGAGGCCTGTAAAAACTATCTGCATTACAACTATAACCTCCAGGTCTGTGTGGGCAGTCCCAGAAAGAAAAGATCAGCATACAAGGTGAGTATACACCTGCTCTTCCCCTCCACATCAGATAACAGTGTCAATGGAGGGAGTGGGCCAAGCATCTCTCTGGCAGTGACTAAGGTCTTTGTTCTTAGGCTGCTAGCCCTTAGTCTCTGGGAACTGAAATTATTCCTCTTGTTCTCATCTGTCTATGCCAAAGCCCTTCCTGAACCTTCCCATGAAGCTCCAGAAGAGAAATGAAGGGAGCCAAGGGAGACATTCTAAACACCGGGACAAAACCAGAGGAAAAAATTCAGTCATTAAATTCCTAATTTAACACCCAATGGGAGCCTGGAACCTTTACTTCCCTGTGGAGTTAGCTGTGATGAGGGGTGTATAGTTGAGGGAAGGTGATCTATGCTTATAGTCTGATTTTTCTAACATACAGGGAGACTCTGGAGGACCACTCCTGTGTGCTGGGGTGGCCCATGGTATTGTATCTTATGGACGTGGAGATGCAAAGCCTCCTGCAGTCTTCACCCGAATTTCCCCATATGTGCCCTGGATTAATAGAGTCATAAAAGGCAAGTAGCTGAAAACCCTGACCTGCAAGCATCAGAGTCTCCAAGCCACAGTTCTTCTGATAACCCTCGGGTTCAACAAAGCATGTCCCAAGCCTGTCCTTAGTCAGTCCCAAACCTGTCTTCATCCTGCCTGCAGCCTGTCCCCAAGAGGATCTCAAAGATAAAGTCTGTGATAATGGATTGTTCCCTGCAAAGCACCTCAATAAAACCTAACCTCCAGCAGCTCTGTGACTCCCCTGTGTGCTCTAAACTTTCAGGCCCTCTCTATGTTCAATGAAGAATTGATTTGAGATACTCTTTTCCATGTTAATCATCTTGGTGATTGACCTCCTGGCACAGGATATGCCACTGTGGATTATTGAATACTAACAAACAAGCATGGCTGTGTACAGTAAGATTTCACATTCAGGGTAATAAACACTGTTTTGTTCTTCTCCTCCACTGTCCTGTATTCCCATCTTCTCCCTTTTTGTCTCTCAGCTCTTCTCCCCACAAATCCCAGGCCTTAGCCACTTCATCTTTCCACACTTCATTGCAGATTCCATGTCTAGGTCAGACATGGCTGTTAGTCCTTGTGTCTCATCACCTACCCTGCCATCATCATCCTCTCAATATTGCACCTGCAGCTAGAGGAGAGGCTGCCCTCAGAAGTCCTTGGACCATGACTGTGGCTGCAGCAGTCACCACAGGAGAGTATCAGCACTTTCTGTAACTAATCACAAGGCAGAACTAGCCCGTAATGTGAAGAGGCCCTCCAGTACTTAGCATGTACTAGGACTTAGCATGGTGGTTCTAGAACTTCTTCTGACTCACCCACATAGAGCTGCCATCTTCCTCAAACATTCTGCCTTTCAGAAGAATGCCTGAGTTAGGTGAACTTCTAAGTGGCCTGCTATCTTCTTAAAAGCCAAAGCTCCCATTGTTCTTAGTCACGGGAAACAATTCTTTAACTACAGTGTTCTGTGGAATCTGAAGGGGACAAGACCACCCATGAGGGGTATTATGCTGAAAGAGGAGTAATATAAATGGTGTGGCCCTCTGACTACTGTACCATAAAAAATTACTGCTAGTACCAGCCTCAGACTAGGAACCCAGCACTTCCACCCTCCTCCTGGCCTGCTCGCCTCTCCTCTGGGTTTCCAGGTTCAGCACAGTAGAGGAGAGGTGCAGCAATAGCTTTCAAAGTACAAGACTGATTATTAACTTGATTCTACCTCAGATCGGGGGGGGGGGACTAAGAAATCTAAAAGGATCTTTTAAAATTAAAGAATCTGAGTTGGATTATTGATACATGGGTGACTGTTTTGTTTCGTTTTACTAACTGTTGTTTATACCTGTGTAACTAAATGGGTCTTTTCTCATCTTAACATAGATTGCTGTGGTTTAGGCAAACTCTCACCATGTAGTTCAGACTGACTTCCAACTCATGATCCTTCTGCTGCAGCCTCCCTAGTACTGGGATCCCAAGCACGCTCCTCCACTCTCAGCTTACACAAAGGTCTCAAAATATGAAACACAAAGCAGAGACTGTACCTGTATCTTTTCTTAGGAGAGCAAATAATCACTAACCTGCAGCTGAGGGCATACTGCCTCTTTATCCCATACTCTAAGAAGGACATGTACTTGGGACAGCCTTTCTCCATGAATCTAGTCCACTGGCAATGAGGAGAGAGTGATTGCCCAATCCTTCAGCCTGGCCCACAGTAATAGGGAGCAGGTGGAGACTCCTGAGAGCTAAGCTGAGGGCACAGGCTGAACGGCTTCCAAAATGGTAACCACTACAGAGCAAACCCCATCACATGGTTCCCTGGAGCCAAAAGAAAAAAAAAGCCCAGTTGGTGACACAGAGGCTCCAAAATCAAGATAAGAGCCTCATCACCACCACTGGAAAGACAGTCTCCAATCAGAGATAGTGAGTGCAGGTAGCACCAGAGTTAACCAGATGGTGAAAGGCAAGCTCAAGAATATAAGCAACAGAAACCAAAGTTACCTGGTATCATCAGAACCCATTTCTCCCACTATAGCAAGTGATGAATACTCCCATTACACCAGAAAAGCAGTATTCAGATTTAATATCATTTCATATGAGGATGATAGAGGACCTTAAGAAGGACATAAACAACTCCCTTAAAGAAATATAGGAGAACACAGGTGAACAGGTAGAAATCCTTAAAGATGAAACACAAAAATCCCTTAAAGAATTGCAAGAAAACACAACCAAACAGGTGAAGGAATTGAACAAAACCATCCAGGATCTAAAAATGGAAGTAGAAACAATAAAGAAATCCCAAAGGGAGACTCCCCTGGAGATAGAAAACCTAGGAAAGAGAGCAGGAGTCATAGATGCAAGCATCACCAACAGAATACAAGAGATAGAAGAGAGAATCTCATGTGCAGAAGATATCATGGAAAACACAATGACATAACTGTCAAAGGAAATGCAAAACGCAAAAAGCTCTTAACCCAAGACATACAGAAAATACAGGGCACAATGAGAAGACCAAACCTAAGGATAATAGGTATAGATGAGAGTAAAGAATCCCAACTTTAAGGATCAGTAAATATCTTCAACAACATTATAGAGGAAAACTTTCCTAACCTAAAGAAAGAGATGTCCATGAATATACAAGAAGCCTATAGGACTTCAAATAGACTAAACCAGAAAAGAAATTCCTCCCGTCACATAATAATCAAAACATCAAATGCACAAAACAAAGAAAAATTACTAAAAGAAGTAAGGGAAAAAGGTCAAGTAACATATAAAGGCAGACCTATCAGAATTACACTAGACTTCTTACCAGAGACTATAAAAGCCAGAAGATCCTGGATTTATATCATACAGACCCTAAGAGAACACAAATGCCAGCCCAGATTACTATACCCAGCAAAACTCTCAATCACTATAGATGGAGAAATCAAGATATTCCATGACAAAACCAAATCTACACAATATCTTCCCACAAATCCAGCCCTACAAAGGATAATAGATGGAAAACTCCAACACAAGAAGGGAAACTACAACCTAGAAAAAACAAGAAAGTAATCTTCCAACAAACCCAAAATAAGGTAGCTACACAAACATCATTCCACCTCTAATAAGAAAAATAACAGGAAGAAATAAGCACTTTTACTTAATACCTCTTAACATCAATGGACTCAATTCCAGAAAAAAGAGACATAGGCTAACAGACTGGATATATAAACAGGACCCAGAATTTTGCTGCATACAGGAAATGGACCTCAGTGGCAAACACAGATACTACCTTAGAGTAAAAGGATGAAAAACAATTTTTCAAGCAAATAGTCCCAAAGAACAAGCTGGAGTAGTCATTCTAATCGCAAATAAAATCAACTTTCTACCGGAAGTTATCAAAAAAGATAAGGAAGGACACTTCATATTCTTCAAAGGAAAAATCTGCCAAGATAAACTGTCAGTTCTGAACATCTATGCTCCAAATGCAAGGGCACCCATACTCATAAAAGAAACTTTACTAGAACTCAAAGCACAGATGGTACCTTGCACAATTATAATGGGGGATTTCAACAGCCCACACTCAGCAATGGACAGGTCATGGAAACAGAAATAAACAGAGACACAGTGGAATTAACAGAAGTTATGAACCAAATGGACTTAATGGATATCTATAGAACATTTCATTCTAAAACAAAACAATATACCTTTTGCTCAGCACCTCATGGTACCTTCTCCAAACTAGGCCATACATTTGGCCACAAAGCAGTCCTCAACAGATACAAAAATAGAAATAATCCCTGCATCCTATCAGATCACCATGGACTGAGACTGGTCTTCAATAATAACAAAAATATTGGAAAGCCCACATACACGTGGAGCCTGAACAATGCTCTACTCAATGATGACTTGGTCAAGGAAGAAATAAAGAAAGAAATTAAAGACTTTTTAGAATTTAATGAAAATAAAGACTTATCATACCTAAACTTATGAGACACAATAAAAGCAGTGCTAAGGGGAAAACTCCTAGCTCTAAGTGTCTACAAAAGGAAACTTGAGTGAGTATACACTAGCAACTTAATAAAACACCTGAAAGCTCTAAAACAAAATGAAGCAAATACAACCAAGAGGAATAGACAGCAGGAAATAATCAAACTCAGGGCTGAAATCAACCAAGTAGAAAAGAAAAGAAGTATACAAAGGATCCAGAAAACATGGAGCTGGTTTTTTGAGCAAATCAACAAGATAGATAAACCCTTAACCAGACTAACAAGAGAGCACAGAGACAGTATCCAAATTAATTAATAAGATTAAAACTGAAAAGAGAGACATAAAAATTTCATCATATCCTACTACAAAAGCCTATACTCAACAAAACTGAAAAATCTGCAAGAAATGGACAATTTTCTAGACATCCATTCATAGTAAAAGTCTTGAAATGATCAGGAATTCAAGACCCTTACTTAAGCATAGTAAAGGCAATATACAGGAAACCAGTGAAAAAACATCAAACTAAATGGAGAGAAAGTTGAAGCAATCCCACTAATATCTGGGACCAGACAAGGCTGCCCACTCTCTCTCTACCTATTCATATAGTACTGGAAGTTCTAACCAGAGAAATTAGACAACAAGAAGAAGTCAAAGGGACAAACGGGAAAGGAAGAAGTCAAAATATCACTATTTGCAAATGATAGGATAGTATACTTAAGTGACTCCAAAACTTCCACCAAAGAACTCCTAAACCTCATAAACAACTTCGGCAAAGTGGCTAGTTATAAAATCAACTCAAACAAATCAGTAGCCTTTCTCTACTCAAAAGATAAACAAGCTGAGAACGAAATTAGAAAATGACATCCTTCACAATAGTCACAAAAGGTATAAAATACATTGATGTGAATCTAACTAAGCAAGTGAAAGATCTGTATGACAAGAACTTCAAGTCTCTATAGAAAGAAATCAAAGAAGATCTCAGAAGATGGAAAGGTCTCCCATGCTCATGGATTGGCAGGATTAATATAGTAATAATACTCATCTTGCCGAAAGCCATCTGCAGATTCAATGCAATCCCCATTAAAATCCCAACCCAATTCTTCGCAGAGTTAAAAAGAGAAAGTCTCAAATTCATTTGAAATATCAAAAACCCAGGTTAGCAAAAACTATTCTCAACAATAAAAGAACTGCTGGGGGAATCACTAGTCTTGACCTCAAGCTGTACTACAGAGCAATAGTGATACAAACTGCATGGTGTTGATA